CCCCCCCCCCAGAGTGTAAAGGCCGGCGGGTAATACTGAATTTGGACGAAAATGTTACGATCCTGTCCGTCAAAATGACGGGCAGTGAAAAAGTCTAGCGCAACCTCTGGTTCACACAGTCGGGGATTTTGGCCGGCCGTCTTTCCTGCAATGGCAGTTTAAACTGTATTTCCTTTATCCTGTGATATGACTTGATCGCTTTAAACCCGGCTCCGGAGCAGGTTAGCCGCTCAGCATAAGTTACCATGGAGATCTAGCCCGCTAAAAAGAAAAGCAGCGTCGTAGGACCGGAAACCCCGAGTTTTCCCTGAAGTTAGCCCGCTAAGCGAAAATCCTGCTTCGTAGTACAGGCCTCAGGTCACATATGACTAATTATGATAGCTGTAATTGGCCCTTTCATAAAGTATATTTTACATATATATATTATATATGTAAAATATACAAATATACATATATAAAATTAAAAAGTAAAATACATTATATATTTTACATTTTAATTCTGTTTTATTTTTTATTTTTAGATGTTTATATTTTATGTTTGTTTATTTTCTACTCTTTTTTTCCTTTTCAAATGATGTGCAATGCCTTGTTTACATCGAAAACAATTCCTTAATTGAAATCAATAAAGTAAAGCTAATCTATTTAATCTAATCTAAGGCACGGACACACCAGGCCGATTATCAGCGTCGGTGGGCGTCAGGCCGACGATGAGCGTCGACACGCCCTACTCAGATTGGTGTGTCCCGCGCATACTTGCCAACCCTCCCGATTTTCGCGGGAGACTCCCGATTTCATAACCCTCTCCCGGTTTCCTCCCGGGGTCATATTTCTCCCGCATTTCTCCCGATTTCTGACTAAATCAGATTTACACACGACTGTTTCCACTCAGACTTTATTACAGCTACACCATTGTTTTGGTTTCCATGGTTCAGCCGGGCCGACGCCTTTTCGGCCGAAAACAGTCGGCAAAAATAATCACTCTGATTGGCTGTTCAGCTAGTGAATCAGTGCATGAGAAGCGAAACGGAAGTGAGGGACCCAAACAAATTCATTTTGGAGATTTCATTTAACTCCAGCTCTCGACACAGGTTCGGGAAAGCCCCATGAGCTTCTCGTTGTAGAGTGAAAATGGAACGCACACGCCATTTGTTGTTTGTTTATATCACGCAGTCTGTTCTTCTTCTCTCGGTTATCACGCAGTCTGTCTTCCGGTTGTTGCCTCTTTTGAATGACGAATACACACTACCGCCGGCTGCTGGTAAGGAGAGTTATTGCCACTCACGCATGCGCAGTTCGTACGTGCTTCTTGGCCGTCGGCCGAAGTCTTTGCGGTGTGTTCCAGTGCGACACATGGCCAAAACGCAGAGACGCAACAGTCGGGGTCCGTCTGTGTCAGTTCTTTGTTGTCGGATTGGTGTGTCCGGGCCTTACACTTAAATATTACCAGCTAATTTATCTACAGATTTACCATATCTAATTTAGTTTTAGATTACCGATTATAGGCCACTCAGCACCCTATTACATGTTGTCCTAATTATTTTATCCTGAGGATTATTCAATTAGACAGTAAAAGACAATCCCATTCATGTCATGAAGTTTCTATAAGAAAATGTAAAAAAGTAACTATTATATTGATTTATATTTGATTCATAGCATGTATTTCAGGTTGTATTTCCCTGTGTAAGGTTTACATATATTAACAATGGAATTCAGACAATTCCAAAGCTTTGGTAAAGGTCCTGTACAATGAGAAATTTAAACCTGCATGATTAAGATTTTGAAGTAGACGCCTTTTTATTTATGTGTGTCTTCATAACAATGAATATGTGCACGTTTACATTTGCCCATTTCTTATTTATGTAATGTATTTGTACCTAATACAGCTCAATATGCACCTATCTAATATACCTGATTACAAGATGGCAGGTGTTTTTGTGTTTCCTAGATCTTCAAGTTATTTAAAGCTAGTACAGAGTACAATAAAACCACAATTTCCCATGTAACAGCAGGTGGACTTTACACCATGGATGTATAATAAGCTTTACACCCTTCATAAAACCGAAAAAAAAGAGGAAGAAGAGTGAGTGGACGGCCGATGCGCTATACACTACAATTGCTCATGGGAAATGGAGATAACTGTAAACCATTGACATTCGAAACATGTTTCATACCATTAAAATAAATATTATCCACTGTGACATAAATCTGTATCTATATTTGCTTGAAAAAAAATTGCAACTAACTGCGTCCCTTTGTTTATTTGCTATTCTCTCTTGTCATTCTTGCAACGTAAAGACTACAATTCCCAACATACACCCTGAACCAGGAAATGATGTGATGTCAACAGATACATGGAGCTGTCGACATGGAACTTCCAGTCTTTTTTATTTCAAAACGTTGCTTTTGGGTTTAAATGCACCTGCTTGAGAATGAGAGGCGTTAACCACAAAGTTTTGTTGCTGTCCTTTTTGCTGTTATGTGTAAATCCGTGTGTGCCAGAGCGAGCTGAGAGGGACAACTCGTTGGACCTGCCTGATGGAGAGGACCGAGTGGATGTGAACCATAAGGATATTCCAGCTAAAAGCCAGCAAACATTAATAAAACATGACCAAGAAGATGGACACGATTCAATCGACCCACAGAAGCAGGGACAGTCTCTCAGGTTGGAAGCAACAACTATTGATTTGAGTATTCTCCTCGGAGTCATTTAGCCCATTGTACTGTAGCTAGCTAGCAATAGCTTCAAAATGTTTGCGATGTTACACAGGTTTCAAATGTCGCATCACTGCAGTCTAGCTAGCTAATATACATCTTGATATAGTTGCCTATAGTCTTTCTAGTGTTGTCAGATGTTATGATCTTATCATTAAGGTAAGTTAGTTTAAAATGATATTATAACGAAATGAACTAGTACACATCTATTTGACCGTAATATTATTATAAAAGGTTGTAGGGTGGGTAAGGTGTAATTGAAGGAATCCTTCAATTACACCTTACCCATCCTACTATTATAAAAGTACACCATTATGATTAATTGTTCAGCAGTGATTTAAAAATAACATGTTATGGTCAATTATGTGATCTGTGAATATTGTAACCAGAGCCCTCTTCAAATCTATTGATTCATTATATGGCTATATTTTTTCTCCTGACTGTCTCCAAGCAGCAAGTCCAATGACACTGATAACTACAGCAACCTAACCCTCCACTCTACAAAACCTCCTGTCAAGCCAACGACCCCGACACCCCCTACCGCCAAGCCCATCCTGCCCGTGCAGACAGGGGTCAAGGCCCAAGAAGAAGAGCAGTCCAGCGGGTTGACCATTTTTTTCAGCCTGCTGGTTATTGGTTAGTTGACTTTATATTGCTGCATTGGTGAATGTCTGTCTAACTCAGTCTTTTGTATCATATTGGTTTTTCCATCTATTACTGGCAGCATAAAGTCCTCACACATTTATAAACACATACATATATAAATACATTTATAAAAGGAATCTAGTCTATTTTAATTCTGAGAACACAGGATTGAAAGGAAGAAGCAAATAATCCACAATGAAAACATTTGATCATTGTTGTTCACACAATGTATTTTAAACTAGACCTCATACAGCTTAGAATGTAGGGAATTGTACATCTAATATATGGATTAGTTAAATCAGTTGTGTGTTAAGTGATTCAGGATGAAGGAAGTGGATGAAGGAGAGGACGTGGTTAAACATTAGCATACATACAACAGTATGTGTAAGGTCACAAAGAGCTAGTTAAGACACAAAGTACCCATTATCCACTTAAGTTGACTGCAGGTTAAGTCATATGCTTACGCTGTAAGGGTATTTGCAAGGAAAGTGGCATTAATCATGCATGAGGTTACCAATAAGACTAATTTACTTTTTAGACATACAAGCAGGCTAGCATGTCTTGGTCTTGAACCAAATGCTTTAACGGTATAAACATTTGAGAAGCACAACTTGCAAAAGAATCACCATAGTCATTTTTCTCTAAAGGTAATACCATTTCATCAGTGGTTTGAGTCAAAAGGTATTGATCACAATACATGAGGCCACCTCAGAGTGCAATATAGAAACCACATTATATAAAAAATCTTTTTGTAAAGATTTTTCCCAGATACCACGCTTTGGACATTATCAATTAACTTTTGTATTAGAATTGGGTCTGAATTAAACATCTGTCTTATGACAAAACTCTCTTTGTTGATTTGACCTCTGATGGCTTTAGTGTTGCATACAACTGGGTCTTATGATCATCTACATTTTCAGCACTGCATTTCTGACGCATGTGTGAATGGCTGGTGTTTCCTTCACTTTGTTGTGGGCTTTGGATTTGTCATTTTAATCTGCTAATTACATTATTACATTTTACTTGTTAGACGCTTTTATCCAAGCGACTTACATACTCAATACTGTGGGCAATCCCCACAGGAGCAATTTGGGGTGAAGTGTCTTGCCCAGGGACACAACGACATGCTGACTGCAGTGGGGTTTGAACCTGTGACCCCCTGATCCGATCCCCTGATCCGAACACCAACTCACAACACCACACGCCATACACTGATTTTTGCCTTTAATATGCTGTACATGATTTCCTCTTCTACTGTAACCTCATTCATGTTTTAATTGGGTTCAATTATCTTTGATTGTACAGGGTCAGAACTATAATTCTAAATGTCAGGCAACTACTTTGTGGTCATTATGAATCAAACAAGTTAACTCATTTGCATTACATATTTTCAAATACTTAGATTTGAATTTAAGTAACCATTTCAATGTTCAATAAGAGGAAATAAAGTTAGTGTTACATGACATTCCTGTCCAGTCCACAGTAGTTGAAGGAAAGAAGCCATAGAAATGATCCTAACACTGTATGATGTGGTGGCTACTTTTGTGTTGATCTGGTGTGACATGATGTTTGGGAAATGACAGAGATGTATTTGTCCTAAATATTCATTCAGTGTTCTTTGCTCTTCCCATTCACCCCAGGTATCTGCATCATATTGGTGCACCTGCTCATCAAGTTCAAACTGCATTTTCTTCCAGAAAGTGTGGCTGTTGTCTCCCTCGGTGAGTACTCCTTATATAACGTGTTTCTCGGCACATGCTTAGTCAAGGAATGCCAAATGTTTGAAGAGCTCTCTAAGAAACCTGTTTTTGAAAAGGCGGCAAACAATTTGAGAACCGCAAATTAATGTTGAGCCTCATTTTCTAGGCTACTCCACTTTTGCTTTTATTAGAGCATTAATAAATAATGAATGTGACGCCTGTTGTCATTAAGAACACATTTTGCTTTTTTTACTGCTCTTCCTTGTCTTTCTTTCTTACATATAATGTGGGTCATTGAAACTTCAACAAATTATTATAAAATGTGTGTGCATCCAGAAGGGATTTAAATCAAATACAATCTAACTTTTATTTATATAGCACTTTTCAATAACCACAGTAACACATAGCTTTGTGATTGAAAAATAACACTTAATATCAACGCAGGAACATATAGGCCTCTTTAAGGTTACAGTGCTAATACAATTTTTATCCGAGTAAAATATGTGTTTTTTAGATGGACAAAGCCCTATCTATAATTAGCAAACTTATTCAAGATTTAGGAAGTGCTTTGCTGTAAAAAACATGTATTGTGTTTTTGTGTGAGGTCACTTGAGGTTAATTCTAAGAATTGACTTGTTTGTGCAGTTAAATACACTCAAACTCACAGACACACACATCTGTCTTGACCCTCAAGGCCTTTCACTTTTTGCTTGACCTGCATACTGCACACGAGACAAAGCTTGTCTCTGTGTTTGGAGTAAGGGCTTTTGCTGAAAAGAGATAACACTCTGCTTACAGATCAGGACGTCTGCTCTTCCTTCCTCATCTTTTCCTCTTTCTCATTCACTCGTTGTATTGCATCCTCTCCACTATACCCTTCCGTCTGCCTGTATATTTGGGTCTCTTACGCAATGCTTTTATGCTTATGCTTGATTTTCTTTTTCCATCATATCTGTCTCTCTCTCTCTCTTGCTCTTTACACATCTTTGTGTTGTCTTGCACTTTTAACACATTTTCTGGCAACCTACGTAACAAGATAGCTTAATGCCCAAGGGGCATTTCTCGAAGACAAAACTAAGACAATAGCCCTTTTATGCTCTTCATATCTCTTTTATCTCTGAACTATGGTGGATATTTTCAAGAATTGTTTTAAATTTGAGAACTAAAAAAAGAACTTTGCCTCATGTATGAACTAAGTCTTTACTCTTGTATTGAAATGTTGATATGAAGTAGTCAAATATGTAAACAGTGGTGCTGTTTCTTGTTTCTCCTCTCCAGGGATTCTAATGGGAGGCTTTATAAAGATTATTGAGTTCCAGGAACTGGCCAACTGGAAGGTATTGTTTGACATCTCGTTCACACACCCTCACAGCGCTTTGTTTATACCGAGCATAGACTGTATATTCAAAGGTTTATACACTGCTTTGGAAAAACATCTTCTTCACGATTGACCCATAATTAATGGTGCTAATACTGATTTAATTTGTTGAGCACAAGGAAACAAAACCAAATACCTCCACACATATTACAAAAAACACATTTGCAATTCATGGCCAAGTTGCAAAAGAGCAACACCCATTGAACACTTGAAATGTAATTTAAAAGGGTGGAGGACAAAAGTCTGCATTGCAAAAATAAGCCTAGAGGATGTAACTACATTTCCTAGTACTTATATAATGTAATTTTATCCTTCAGTAAATTCTCCAGGAACTCCCCACCCACCACAAACATCTGTAGATTCCCCTCTCTCTTTATGTACCATTCATTCATTTCCTTGCCACTGCTTGTGTCACACATCTCATCTCTCTATCTCCACTGTTACCTAGCCATCGTGACACAAGCCATTCTCTGCTTGCTATCTTCCCCCTTTGTGTCCCTATGAGCCCTTCTTTTTTCCTCTTGGTTCTCACAGCCTTTAATTAACATTCCTTGTTCTCTGCCAGTGAGTTGAGAGAACAAATGAACAACAGATGGAGAGAGAGAGAGAGGGAGAGAGACAGAGAGGGAGAGGGAGAGAGAGAGAGAGAGAGAGATGCAAAGTGAGGGGGAGGGCTGAAAAGAGGATAGGTTTTGTCAATGTTTCTTGCACACTGGGACCCATTGTTTTTTAGCCTGGGGGCCCCAGGGTGTTGCTGAGTCATCATCACTACCAGTAACCAGAGCCCCTGGAGCCCCTTTCCCCCTTTGCCCTGTCCTGTGAATCTCTAGACCGCCATCTCTGTGTTCAGGTTTTAATCGCATCCTCACCTGTCCGTATATTGGCTTCATGACCTGTTATCACTGCTTAAGTAGAGTGTAATGCATTTAGTTATACTGTGATATGCAGCAGCATTTTTGCAGGATCATGGATTTGCTAAATGGTTTGTAGGCCTTTGGAGTCTTCAAAAGTCCCAGGCCATGATGCAGATCCATTTGTTTTTTAGATAGCCCCTGAGAGCAGGATGCACCATGTAACCTGTTCAGTGAGTAGCACAGCCTGTGGTTCTGTTCTGTTTTTATTTTCTCAAATTTTTCATACAGTGCATTTACTCACAGGTCCATGTTTGACCATCTTGTCAAAGGAAGGCATCTGTCTTTCTCTTTTCTTTTCAATGACTAGCTCATTTTGCAGGTTGAAACTGGATGCTTTCCGATACTTCTAACTATCTTCAAATGCTTTAGTGCTGTGAAATCTCTTCCAACAAGCATGTTTCTTTAGCAGACCCACTTGACTAATCTAGCAGGCCTCTGGGTCTGCCCCACAAACCACCAAGCATCCTGTCCTCACTGGCTTTCACCACCACTCATTTTTCTTTGCTATTTCCTACCAATCCTTCTATTTCCCGTCATCTCCCTACAAACCAGCACATGACGAGAGGCAGTTCCGTTTCTACTTTTCTGGTCACTGCTTCCCCTTTCTCTCATCTGCCCATCCCCTTCCCATGTGCTCTGACAAAGATTGAAGAAAATATGCTAGTAAGAAGTAACACACTAGAAGCATTTTCTCTCTTAGGCAGGGCACAGACAGATATACATAGGTTATTATACTTTCATCTACAGTGTACTCCAGATAATCATTTCATTTTCTCTCTGTACTGTATTATCTTGCTTCATTTCTCCTCAGTGGCAGCATTGGTGTGTTTAAAGGGGTAGCACGCACTTTTAATAGATTTCTCCCACGCCGTAGAGAGCGTCGCAGGGGGAACAGTTTTAATTGTGGTTTAAGGGGGCTTTTTCCCATGTGGTGATGTCACTGTGTCAAAGCTGAGCCCCCAGGGAGCCTGTACTTCCAACGAAGGCCTCCCCGTCACTCCCATTCATATTTTTCTGTTCTCTCTTCTAGACCCTCTTTTAACTGTGCTCTCTTCATCTTTGGCATTCATCTTTTCTAATTTAGTTCAAGCTCTGCACTTCCCTAGAGTATGCCCATCCTCTACTCTCTGGGTTTATCTATCTCAATATTTGCAGTTTTTTACTTAGTAACTGTTTGGATTTGCTGCTTTTCTTTGTTTTTGCAAAGTAAACATTGTTGGACTGCTTGGCTAGCACAACAACCAATTGGATGTGTTTACCTTGGGCTTATTTCAATGACTTAATCATTAATCAGTTAATCAAATGTAATTTACAAACATTTTTCAAAAATAACTTTGACCAATAATTGAAGCCCTACTAAAGCTCTTATCGACAAATACGGCAAAGCACTAGCTTGCTGACATCTGCTTATTTAAATCTGTAGATGTGCATATGCAAAGTCTGTGTGTGCTTATTCAGTCAGGGACATGCAGGCATTCATGCGGAAGTACAGCTGTAGATGTCAGATGGCAGAGCATGCATGGTATACCTCTTGTGTCTCAGGTGGTAATATTCATTCCTGACCTTTTATCTGCCCTGAAGGGTAGAGATTGGCCAGAGATAAATGTCAAAGAGTGATAATCTGGGAGCAGTGCCTTCTGACCTACCTTGCCTGGAATTTGAATGCATAATAAGGCAAAGTAAGCTAAAGCACAACTATTTACTCCGGCTTACACCTGGTGTCGGCTGTCCTCTTTACCTGAAGTGTTTTTAAGAGTTTATATTGAGTGTATAGTGTTGGTTGGTGTTGTCAAATGGATCATTAGAGCCAAAGTAAAAAATCCTGACAGCCACAAATTGCAGTATGGTCTTCAATTGAGACATATGCTGTGGTATTGTGGCATGCATATCAGGGTCATAGCCCAGAATAATGAGTTAGATGGAAAAAAACATGTTTATAAATTCAGAGGATCCTGCAATTAGTCATGTTATCTAGCACTGCCCTTTCTGAACAGTTAATTTCACCAATCATGTATGCCATATATATAAATAATGTAAAAAAACGATACTTGAAAACACCACTGTGCTTGACAGAAGACAGTTATTAATTGCCAACCTATAACAAATCATATATTTGCAGTGTTTAGAGTAATCAAAAACGATTGTGTTTGGGGAGTAATTGTCTTCATCTGCTTGTCGAGTTATTGGGGTTGAGTCAGCCCCAACCAGCTGTCAAAGCTGAGTTCCATAATACAGTAAGAGAGATTGTTGACTGGATGGAGCAAATATGGGATGACCCTCTTCTATCTGCCTGACAGACTCAACTGCAGTGTCAACCATAGCCCAGAAATAGATCTTCCCTATGAACATTCACTAATGCATACAGTACATTTACTATTACATTACTGACATAGATAATGCACAGAATACAGTCACACACGCACGCACACACGCACGCACGCACACACACACACACTGGCTTTGAACACATGGCGCGTCATGCACAGACACATGGGCAGCCAGAGTGTAATGCTTGGCCACATGATGCCTACGCCTGATCTTGGAGGCTGA